AAATATTTAGATAGGATAACCTCTTTGTTAATTACACGCTGTTCGATCATACTTGTCTCTTCTGGAGACCTTCGCTCCACCATGGAATTTCACACTTTTTTCACAAAGATTAACTCGAACGTTACAAAACAAAAAAGAGAAAAAAAATAGAAGAAGAAGAAATACCAGCTAAACAGAACCATCGAAGCGTTAATTGATCGGTATCGGTGATGCGCATTAATATTCGCGGGAATCGAGAACACCCTTTCACATTCGCTCGTTGTCCAACAAGCAGCATCCAGCGAGAAGGAAACAATAGAAGTAACACGTTCGTTCGGTCTCTCAGCTTTCATCTATCTGATGCCCTGATGTCGAAGCTTTCTGATTTTCGCAACTTCCGCCAGGGAAATCCGAACGTTCGATCCAGCCGGGGCTGTTGTCATTTTTGCGATAGAAAGGCCGTATGTATCGAGCCGGCTCTCTTGATGAATGAACGTGGGAAAGGAACGGGACAGTAAATAGAGGGAAAGTCTCGGATGAAAGGTAGACGATGAACAATGCCGATGGAAGCATTGTCTCGTGTTCAGACACGCTGACGAATCAGACGAGACTGTTTTAATGAACGCACGGTCTCGTAAACTACTCTCCGTATTCTCCTCGGGATTTTTGCTATGACGGTGCATGCTCTCGGACGTTTTGGAAATTTATTAACGGTGCATCTCTCACGAGAAGCTGGCCGTTTGCCCGACTTTATCTAGTTTTCTACGACTTGTACACCCCTGCTCAAAAGTCTGTTTTATCATGCACATATTTTTTTTAACCAAGATGGTCGAAAGTTTGTAACTTTTGTTGGATATATTTCGTAGACATGGTAACAGTATGTCTAAAAATTCAAACTGACGGAAATTTTAATCGGCAGTTGCAGCGTTAATATCCTTCTTTTATCATTACTTTATTTATCTTTTACTTTTATTACTTCACATACGTTTTTGTATTATTCTATAATATAATATTAATATAAATTAATACGCGTTAATTTTTTTTATTTTACGAATATTTCACTACTTGTTGTACGCAGTCGGATTTTTAAACTGCATTTTAGAATGGAAACAGCGCTTGTTTAATTTAATAACAAAAAGTCACGTTTTTATATCATTTCTATCAAATATATCGTGTCATTTAATTCCTTTGGTTTTGCGAAACAATCACAAAAGGTTTCAAGACTTTTGATCGAGGGTGTACTTACACATTCATGATTAACGGGCATCTAAATTCTCAACAATACGACGCCAGGCAAAAGCGATCGTTGTGTGTATCGTTTTATTGCCAAACCGCCAAAGTTTTCCCTCGCTGCGTTGTTATTTACGGCTCGGTTGGACGACCCGTGGAATTTCTACAGAAATCACCGCATCGAAAACACAGAAGCAAAGAAATAAAGAGAGAGAGAGGAATTATTTTCGTGTTTACGGGAGCGAATCCAACAGCATTCCAATCCTGAAATCGATGGAAAAACGAGAACGAAACGCGTATGGTGTTCGATTCAATTTGATCGGGCTCAATTTTATTGGAGAGAAGATACAACACGTCCAAGTGATGATACTTGATCTCTCTGGTAGTTTTTCTCTTTTTTCATACTTTAATGCATAGAGAGTTGACCTTTACACGATACCGATAGAATCGACGATTTTCGCGAATCATCGTTCATACGAAATAAAATGGAATATTCCAATATTCGTTGTAATGTTGGGATTATTGGAAATTCGTTGGTTTCTCAAAACGAGCAACCTGTCGTTTCAGAATTCAAAGAGGCGTTCATGCTCTTCGACAAGGACGAGGATGGCACAATCACGATGGCGGAACTCGGCGTGGTCATGCGATCACTGGGACAGCGACCGTCTGGTAAGCGAACGTTCAAAGTCACGTCATTTGAAAAAAAAAAAA